TAATATCACTGAAATAGACTCGCGGGTCCGCGCGGAAACGGCGGGGAAGAGCCAACGGCCGAGGCGGCACAATGAATTTGACGGCTGGACACATAGATCGCCGGGGACGATGAAAGAAATCACGGCACTTCTTTTTAACGGGCGCAATAAACCGCGATAACAACGGCGGGAAACGTGTGTTTAAGGATCACGATCGAGGAATGAACGAACCGAGAAATTAAGCATTACGGGAAACGGGGGTCCACTGAGCCGCGGGCACGCTCGCGCGATAATAAAATTAGTCGGTTCGTAACCGTTCGATGCTTCCTTATCTCCGACTCCGGTTGCCTTCCCCTTTGTTTCGCCGCGGCAACGATATGGGCCGCGCTCACGTAACGCGCACTTTTGCGAGCCCGTAATGCACCACTTTTTTGTCACGGCGCACGAGCGTAGATTAGATTTAACCTCCTCGTTGTCTTCGCCGCGGAACGAGGTCGCGTAGGAAAAACGCGCGGAGGATCGCGCTCGTTTTCAAACAAACGGTAAACCATTCTTTTTTTTCCCCGCCCCTTTTAAATTAACTCGCCGACCATCCCGTTGTTCGACCGTGCGGAATCAAGAAGGAAGAAATACGTCGTTGCAACGTTGCAGCGCGATCTTCGTTTCGGGAAAAAAAGAAAAAAAATACGAGAAGTCCGATTTGTATCTCGTGGCGTTCGAGATCGCGATTCGCGAGACCGCCTTCGCTGCGGAATTTGATATAAATGGTTGAAACGATCGACGAAGAGACGGCAATTATTTCGCCGATTCGCGTCCGTCGCATTTTTAGACAGATCGAACTGTTGCAAATAGCTCGGCGACTATTTTTATGTCATCGGTTCTTGAGAAGATAGAGATAGAGAGAAAGAGAGAGAGAGAGCCAAGTCACCCTTTAAAGACGTTTTTCCTAATTATAGTCGAGAACGTTACGGCTACTTTATATGCGAGTGAAAAATATATTTATTTATAGAACGGAGAGCTTCGTGGCTGAACGGATTTATGGGTTTCGTCGGGAACGGAATTAGGAAGCGAAACTACGTCGACGAATAAACACCTATAACGAGAGAGAGAGAGAGAGAGAGAGAGAGAGAGAGAGAG